CTGAGCAAGACTGGCCAGACATGCCCTGGAGCCGTCTTGCAGTCCCTTCCCAGCTGCCAACCTCCCGCATCCTTCCCTGGCTCCGATTGTTCACTGGTGGGGTCCCTCGGCCTGGCCTGCACCCTCTTGCAATCCAGGACCCCTCAGGGGATGTCAGAGAGCCAGTTTGGGCCCGATCCTGCAGGCCAGGCTGGGGACCCCACTGGTGCATGAATTCCTGCACCGGGCCTCTAGTGAAGGGACATGGTACCCCAGCAGACATGATTTTTGTTTTTCCTTGTTGAATATATCGATTTAAAAAGGAAACAGCTGCCGGGCCGGTTTGCTCAGTGGATAGAGCGTTGGCTTGGGGACTGAAGGGTCCCGGGTTCAATTCTGGTCAAGGGCATGTACCTTGGTTGCGGGCATATCCCCAGTGGGGGGTGTGCAAGAGGCAGCCGATCGATGACTCTCTCTCATTGATGTTTCTAACTCTCTATCTCTCTCCCTTCCTCTCTGTATAAAATCAATAAAATAATTTAAAAAGGAAACAGCTGACTCCTGTTTGTAAGGAAATTAACACATACAAATTAACACATAACCACAGGGCTTAGTGGTTGAGTGTTGACCCATGAACCAAGAGGTCACAGTTTGATTCCTGATCAGGGCATATGCCTGAGTTTTGGTCTTGATCCCCAGTGTGGGTTGTGCAGGAAGCAGCTTATCAATGATTCTCTCTCATCATTGATGTTTCTGTCTCTTCCTCTTTGAAATCAATAAGAATAAATTTGAAAAGAAAGAAACAAAATCTCAGCTCAAAGTCTCTTGACTTCCAGCCCAGAATTCTTCCCCAAATTTCCTTTTGCATTTTTTTAATACATAAGAATATTCACGTGCACCAACAAGGGAAGTAGACATCACTCTAACCAGAAGCTAGCTGGGTTGGGGAGTTGCTCCCTTTAGTGAACTTGCACAGAACTCATTTCCTCAGAATCCCTCTTTTGCTAAGTGCCAAGTTCCAAATCCCCACTACTCAAGGACTTCATTCATTTCTCCCTTCTTCTCTATTCCTTCTTCTTCCCATCCACTCATTTATGTACCCATCTGTTTATTCACTCACCATCCATCCAACTTAATGTAAGTGAACACTTGCTGTGCTAGTTCTTGGGAATATGATGGTGAATAAGACCGACATGAGGTCTGCTTTCTGCCAGTGTGGGATGATGTGGAAGGGATTCTGTAAGTGGTTCTGGAACTGTTAATAATACTGTAGATGTGCCCACCTTACTTTCTCCATCATCATCATTTCACCATCATTAATTTTTACCAATAGAATCCTCCCCTCCCCCCCTTTTTTAAAAATATATTTTATAGATTTTGTACAGAGAGGAAGGGAGAGAGTTAGCAAGTTAGAAACATCGATGAGAGAGAGTCATCAATCAGCTGCGTCTTGCACACTCCCTACTGGGGATGTGCCCACAACCACGGTACATGCCCTTGACCGGAATCGAACCCGGGACCCTTCAGTCCCCAAGCCGACGCTCTATCCACTGAGCCAAATCGGTTTTGGCCTCCTCCCCTTTTTTTATATTCCAATAGAATCTCAGCAGGAACTCAGAGGATAAAACAAATATAAGTGGGTGGGTCTGGTTAAAGACAGAACAGCCCAATTAGTTCCTGCCCTGCAACCCACAATTCCTTTCATTTTGCCCTTGAGTTACCTCCTCACACAGCCAAACCTGAAGACCACTGACCTTGGTCTCTGTCCTTGGTCTGACATCTATTTATATAAAAGGTTAATATGCACAGTGTCCCCTCAGGAGTTCGACCGGGAAACCGGGAGTTTGATCACTCGCTATGACATGTGCTGACCACCAGGGGGTGGCATTGAATGAAGGAAGGCCCCGATCGGCCCTGATTGCTGAGCAGGCCTAGAGACCCTACCTGTGCACGAATTTTGTGCACTGGCCCCCTAGTAATGTCATATTGTGCTAGTGCTCTGTGTATAGCTATTCTTCAGTTATGCTAATGCCCCAGCTATAGAGGAATCTGGGATAAATGTGTAAACGCAGGCCCAAAGACCTCAGAAACTCCAGAAGTGGTAACTGGTAGCCTCTTTATGTCCTTTCAGTTTCTAGGCCCAGAGCTTGTCTTGGAGCCAGGGGAATGGGACAAGGGATACCCTTGAGCATTTTTTTCCACACTCCCCAGACCCATGTATTTACCTGTCCTGTCTCAGTTGAGATACTGAAAACAATGTAACTGTACAAACAACCTCCTAAAACTAACACAGGACAAAGGAGTTTATGCACATGTTTGTTTGGACTTTGGGTAACTTGAAATTATTTAATCATGCTTAATTTCCTGTAGGGGGAGGGTAAGTTCCATCATAATTTGAGACAAGTGGCAGTTTTGCCTCTGGCAGATTTAAATGAGGAAGTGAATGCTGGGATCCAAACAGCATCATGAATGTGCATCTGTGCCCATGGTCTTAATCAGCCTCTTTGTTTCGCTTCTTTCTTTCCTGTGGTGGTTGTAGCAGCCTTCCCTCCGCCTGCCCACGTGGTGCAGTGACATTTGCACAGAGCAGGGCCCACGGTCTTTCTCATTTGCATTGCTCTCCAGCCTTTTCTGAATGGCCACCAAGAAAAGGACCCTTCCTTGGAATAAAGTGATCCCCAGATTCAGAGCTCAAGTGTTTTAAGTTTTTCTACCCGCCTGCAGTGATGGGCTGCCTGCGATTCCTCCATTCTGACTCTGCCTCTATGAGTTTCTTACTCTGTTCCTCTTCCCTCTCCTGTCTTCTCTAGCACTTTAATGCACTTCAGATTCAACTCGGAAAAAAAAAAAAAAAAAAAAAAAAAAAGTCAAGAAAGAGATTTTCAAAAAGCAAATAGCTATTTAGTAAACTTATAAGATATTCACATAGGCCAGGGCATGGCTGATTAATTTTATTAACCACCTCCCCTGCAGTGTTTAACAATTATTTCTTGAATTTGAACGCCTTTGGACTTTGCACATGCTTGCCAGTTTCCGACATTCTCTGTCATATTTCATACCCACCCGGCTTTATGTACGTAGTAGTGGCCCTGTGCACGAAATTCGTGCAAGGGGCTCAGCGTTCACAGCCACAGCGGCTTGCTTCGGCCCGAACAGCCCTGGCTTCGTCCGGAAGGTTATCTGGAAGGACGTCTGGAAGGTTATTATAGTTAGCATGTTACGCTTTTAATATTACAGATATTACTAGCCTGGTTTTACAGTCAGCCTGGTCCCTTCCTGAATACCAAGGCTTTCCCAGGTGGTCTTCCTTAAGAATCTTCTTTGTGCAATTTAGAGTTCTAGAATTTTATAAAAAGCATTGCTACTGTGCATATATTTATATCAAATGGGAGGAGTTATTAAAAGGTGGAAATACAGTATTCGTCTATAGAAAGTGGTTAAAAGAAAATACAAGTTGTATTCATTGCTGGGGATGTTATAGGATGTCAGGCAGTAAATCTTACTAATAATTTATAAATGGACTCAATAGATTTTGTGCATAACCTTGTAAATTTCACTTAGATTAGGTAGTTAAGTCTGGATAATGGAGCTGGTTGAGCCTGAAACATCACAGGAGGCAAAAATGACAAAACGAAGCTCTCCTACTTTGGGCATATCATGAGGAGTCAGGGTTCTTTAGGAAAAACAAAAATGCTGGGAAAATAGAAGGCAGCAGGAAAAGAGGAAGTCCAAATATGGAGTGACTTCATGAAAGAAAACATAGGTCTGTGCCTACAGGAGCTGAGCAGGACTGTTGAGGACAGGACACATTGGCCATCACTCAGTCATAGGGCCACCAGGAGTCAGAGCCGACTCAACGGCACCTACAACACATAGAGCCTTGATTTGATCATAGGATTCTTGGTGTAGTATAACTTGATAGTGAGTGGGTCCTTTATATAAATACTAGAGGCCCAGTGCACAAAACCCGTGCATGGGTGCAGTCCTTAGGCCTGCCAGCATTCAAAGCGCAAGCATCTGGCATGGAAGGGCAGGTCCCAGCTGACCTCTGGGTCCCCCATGTGGCCCCCTCTGCCTAAGTCATGGCGCCCGAGTCCTCACACAGAGATGCAATGAGCGTGGCTAGACGCTGTAGGCCAGGGAGCAGCATGGGACTCTGGGCCACCCACCAGTGCCACACAGAAGCCAACTGGGCAGTGCACTCTCTCCAAGCCAGACATACAAATCGGCTCCTGCACGAACCCATGGGGAGCCTGACCAGCCTCTGCGGTCCCAGTGGCTGTGGCCTGGCTTACTCAGAAGAGGCTGCATGGTTGCAGGGAGGCCTAATGTGGGGGCTTCCTTGGCACACGAGCCCTGGCTTCCCAGGGGAGGGTAGCAGGAGGAGTGAGAGTGACCTTGGTGACACCCCAAATTCTCACCCCACCTCCATCACAGACCCTGCCTGGGCAATGTGGGAGGTTGGTCACCACCCACACTTCCTGCTCGCTCTGTGGCTGGCAGCCATTTCTCTTGGGGTTTGTGTATCTTCTATAATTGAAACTTTATATCCTTGAGTGGAGGCCTAGGCTGGCAAGGGCAGGTGGAAAGCTTGGCTTCCTCCATTGCTGGGGAAACCCAAGCCTCCCTACTGCTCTCTGTGGCTGTAGCCATCTTGGTTGGGTTTATTTGCATACTCGCTCTGATTGTATGGTGGGCGTGGCTGGTGGGCGTGGCTTGTGGGTGTAGTGGAGTTATGGCCAGTTTGTATATTACTCTTTTATTAGGTAGAAAATACTAGTAGATTCTCAAGCATCATCATCCTTCCTTTCCAGTTCTTCCCTTATTTTATTCCATATCACCCCTTTACCATGCTCTGTATCCGTTGGATGGCTGTGGTTCTTCTCACTTGGGCTCTGGGCACATCTGTCTATGGAATTCTCCTGACTGTTGGTACTAACCATGGAAGACTGTAATTTGTCTCCTCTTTTAACAAAGCCCTCTCTCTCTTTTTTTTTTTTCTTTTTCCCATTTCCCAGCAGATGTATGGAGTGATCACTCATTTCAGACTGACCCGGATTTGCCTCCTGGCTGGAAAAGAGTCAACGACATCGCTGGGACCTACTACTGGCACATACCAACAGGAACGACGCAGTGGGAGCGCCCCGTCTCCGCCCCGTCGGACCTTCAGGGGTCGAGGAAAGGCTCGCTTAGTTCTGTAACGCCATCTCCCACCCCAGAGAGCGAGGTAAGACGGAGTCTCTTTGTAGCGACTTAGTAGAGTGGATGTAACTGGTGATTCCTCTTTACACTCATTGCTTCTGCCCCAACAGAAGCTCTTTGATGATTGTGCATGTTGCATTGGAAACCTCTTAGTAAATAGTGTTAATACCATCTTTCAGGGATGTTTTCATTTTTTAATGGCTTTTGATCTCTTGAAACACTGCGTTAGGTACACCAAGAAAGAGGGGCTGATTAATGAGAAGTGGTTAAGATTCCCCAGGGCTCCCAGAGGCAGCATTTTACTCTGTGGGTGTCATTGGGCGGTGCTGTCTCCATAAAATATTTACACACAGAAGGCCAGAGGTCTTATAATTATCGCCCATCTTATTATCCTTGGGTTCCTTGGATTGCACGGAGAGGACGTCTGTGAGAATAACCCTGAGAGCCCTTAAATGCTTCATTTCTATTTTAAAAACAGGGTCTGTTTATTTAGCGGAAGTGACATGATTTTAGAAATAATGAGCAGCATACATTTTTGCTATTCCTGAGGAAGAAATCGGAATGTTTAAACAAAGAACTGAGGCATTAAAAAAAAAAAAATCCCATTATGGTATTTATTAATATAAAAGAGTCCTGCAGAGAACCTCTGTGAATCTTGCTAATGAAATAGTCAAGAGAATTACATTTGGAAAAGGTCACAATTATATAATGGCTTTTTTTTTATTTTAATGTAAGAAAAGTGATTTGATCATTGACACCAAGACATTTTTGCTTTTCTCTGACCACCATCTTGTTTTTTGTTTTGTTTTTTTAAACAACCTATTTTCTTTTACTTTGGGGACACGGGTGACATTTGAATTGCCTCTCTTACCTGCAAAGCTCCTCTATATATTTGCAACTATTATCACCCTTCCCGTAGGAAAAGGAAAGAGACCTTGTTTTCTACGTCTTTGATTATTTGCTTGCTCTTGGCTGGGAGGAGCTAAAACCTACCTACCCACCACATCCTGCTGTTACCACGTAGGATTTTGTTGTTTATCACTGGGCGATTTTGATAACATTGCATTGAAGCACCGTATTCCTGCTCTCTGAGCAAATTCCACTCAGTCAGTTATTCGTCTTGCGTTAGGTGCACTGGGGGAGAAAGAGGAACCAACACAGCCCTGATGCTCAAAGAGCGTGGCAGTGGCCGCCCAGAATCTGAACCAGTTCTCACTGAGGCACGGATGTCCTCTCTCTTCCTCACCCACACGCCTTTGCTCTTGGCTTCTCTGTTAGAGTCTTTCTCCATTCCAAGGCTTCGCTCCCCTGTTGTGACCCTTCAACCATCTTCCCCAATGAGAAGTGCCCTACAGCCATTGTGGGAAGGGGCCATGTGACATCAGTAGCCATATGTCAGAGACAGGGAAACTGAGGCACAGAGAGGTCAGTGACCAGTGGCCATACTGGGTGTAGAACTTGGACTTCCCAAATCCTCCCAAATCACAGGCCTGAGTGCTTCTTACTCCTCTTCCCTGGCTTTGGGGGTTCACCCTGCTCTGCTTTCACTGGGACCCAGAGGGGAGGAGATTAGAGTATCTCTGAGCGCCCGTTTGTGTTCAGTCACTCTCCTGTCTTCTGTGTGTGGGAGAAGTGAAGTCCTTCTAACGCTCGCCTCTTGGGGCCAGGGTGTGGGTATGGTGTGTACAGGAGGGCACCCCATGGTTTCTGTGTCTCGGATTTTTATTTCTTCAGTGGCTATAGTAGACTTCCATTCCTTGTTTGGAGAAGAATGCAGCAGAACCTTCCAGAAAATGACTTCTCTTGATAACATTATCTCAGGCCCTAACAACAGTTAGAGAGACGTGGTTATTTCTCTGACACCATTTCTTTGGTCCCTACATAGACTCTATTTCGGCTAATTTGGAGACATGAGAGAAAGGGAAATGTTAAGGGAGAGGAGAAACTTGTAAGATGGTGTGTTAGAAATGCATATTTTACTCAGCTTTTCTCTGAGCTGGCTTTTTAGAAAAACGTGAGTACCAGATCTGTTGACTAAGCCCCACCAAAGTTTAGGACTGACGGCTTCCTTACAGTTTGATGATTTTACATATCACGTTCCAGGGCCGACTGGGGACGTGTTAAGCACAGCGGAGAATGTTCCCTCTGCACATGCCGGCAATATTTTCGAACGTTTGTAAACTGGCCAGGAAGCTTTTGCTGCTGAAATTTGGCCCATGATCATCTCCTCCCAGTCTATTGACTTGTTCCAAACTACTTAAAGGTTGCATTTTAGAAGAGGGAGCCACACAAAATGTTTATGGATAACGAATAACCCTGAGGCAAGTCTTCCTTATACTCTTTCCAGCCCGAAAGTGCTTCCCAATTCCTTAAGGAGAGAGGATGGAGGAGAAGGTAGGGTCTTGTTTGAGGTGTGGCATTGCTTTCCAGGGACTCAAAAGAGAAGCATGGAAGAAGAAAGCTCTCCCTGGGCAAGGTTAGGGAACTGAATTCCTTTAGTGGGTTCATCCATCACACTGCGTCTGCTGTGTGGTTACGAAGGTGCCACACTCCAGGCGCTGGGTCAGCTTCCCGGACACACCATCTCTGAGGAGCTAGGCCCCAGGGCTGTCCGAGAACCGAGAACAGAGCACAGTCACCATGATCAGAGTCAGAAGCACTGGCCCTGGGCAACGTCATGACAGGCACCGGGAGAATGTGTCCCCAGCTATAACTCTTTTTTTTTATTTTATTGATTTTTTACAGAGAGAAAGGAAGAGGGATAGAGAGTTAGAAACATCGATGAGAAAGAATCATCGACCAGCTGCCTTTTGCACAGCCCCCACTGGGAATGTGCCCGCAACCAAGGCACATGCCCTAGACCGGAATTGAACCTGGGACCTTTCAATCCTCAGGCGATGCTCTGTCCACTGAGCCAAACTGGTTTTGGCCCCAGCTGTAACTCTTAACGCCAGACCATCACTCGCTGTGCCCGAGAGATGATCAACCAGGCAGTCGTGGCTCATGGAAGATGGTCTCTGTTCTTCCCTTACTACGCTGTCCCCCTGTCTTCGTGCTGAGACTTTGCCCCCACCTGCCTTTTCCTCTTTGGCTTTCTCTTTGTCTCCTCTCGCCTTTCATAGCTCACTCCCACCATCCAGACTACAGGCTTGGACAACTGCAGACTTCCTGTAGAACCAAAGAATCTCTGTTGGATTGTTTTTTTATTTTATTTTTAAGTAATTTTTATTGATTTTTTTTTTTTTTTTTTTTTTTTTTATAGAGAGAGAGGAAGGGAGGAGGATAGAGAGTTAGAAACACTGATGAGGGAGAAACATCAACCAGTTGCCTCCTGCACACTCCTTCTGGGGATATGCCTCAACCCAGGTACATGCCCTTGACTGGAATAGAACCTGGGACCCTTCAGTCAGCAGGCTGAGCCAGTCCTGTGAGGGCGGGTTGTTTTATTTTTTTAAAAATGTATTAGTTATATTATTGTATTCTTTCCCCTTAATTAAAAGATTTAGATGAATAGAATATGTGGTTCTGAAATTTAAAAAAAATTGTTGATGAATTCCATTGTCCTTAATTTAAAGAGAAAAAATAAATTATGGTCACTTATTGAAAAAAAAATTTAATGACTATTTTGAAATACAGAAGGGAAAAAAGGTCTTTGGCCTAATCATAACATAAAATGTCAGTTTCTGGTTTTCCTTACTTGATTTTTATGTGAAAGGGTTTCTTGAGGAGTACCCATGTTATTTTAAGTTTTTGTGGTGTTTTTTTTTAAATCACTGTATTAGACCTTTGTTTATTTAAATCTGTAGAGGGTGACTGTTGGAAGCTCGCCAGCTGACTCATGTCTCCGAGGCATGAGAGCTAGATTCATGTAGTTTTAGGACCGTAACCTACTTTTGCTATACAGGGCCCCTTTCGTCCAAAGATTAAATACATAAAACGTTTTTAAACACACTTACAGAGAACTTTCTGTTAAATTATGAAGCTTTTTCTGAATACTTATTTTTTTTTAAAAAATACTCTTCTTTCACCCTCCCCAGTCTCAGCAGAGTATCTCTTAAGTATAAGTAGCAATTTCAGATTTCTCTTGTCAGACATACACACCCTTTTAAGAAAAAAATTTCTTGGCAAAAACACAGTGATCTTAGTATTCCTAATTCATGGTCTGATATCCTCTTTCAAATTTGACGTAAGTGAAAACCAAAGATTGATAGTATGTAACGATGATGATGATTTGGAGCTAAATAGAACTAGTTTCCTTTTGAGAAAGAGATGTTTAGCTTGAAATTTTATTTCCTACTCGATACCCCTACAACAGTGACTCGAAACCTTTTTTGGTCTCTGGCCCTTTCTGGAAACATAAGAAAAATTGGGGATCATCTCCCCTGGAAAACACACAAACACAAGAGCCCACCCATGCCAGGGGCTCCTGGTGCCCTCCGCTGACCCCTGGAGACCCTCCCACATCATTCATGTTCTCCTCGGCAAAAGCCCAACTCTGCTTTTGGGGATGGAGTAGGAGAGAGGTCACAGACTGGGCAGCGTTCATACTCTTTTATTCAATAAAAGGAACTTATTTTTAAAATAAGTGCAGTGGCCTACGTTCTATTTTTTTAAAAATATATATATATTTTATTGATTTTTCACAGAGAGGAAGGGAGAGGGACAGAGAGCTAGAAACATCCATGAGAGAGAAACATCCACCAGCTGCCTCCTGCATACCCTCCACTGGGGATGTGCCCGCCACCAATGCACATGCCCATGACCGGAATTGAACCTGGGACCCCTCAGTCCTCAGGCCGACGCTCTATCCACTGAGCCAAACCGGTTTTGGCAAGTGGCCTACGTTCTAATTTGTTTTGGAAAAACTACAGTTCAGGTGCCTAGCCCAAGAAGAAAGCAAACAAAGACACCAAGCGTGCGAGAGAGCTCGCGGATCTAAGTTTGCCATGGCTTTGCCCCTTGCAGAGTCCCTCAGAGCTATTATAGATAAGTGCGTCTCTCAGCACCTGGGCTATTGGAACTTGGCTCCTTCTGCTTTGAGTGGTTTTAAAATATCGTATTAATGTTGTGAGCTAAAGTCACGCGCAGTGCTTTCATCTCGTCGTCAAAGGACCGTAGTTGTTGTTCCCGTTGTTGATTTACTATCTGAGAAAAAAGATCTGCCCGCCGAGTCAATGCAACAGATTCAAGAGGGTGTCCCTGGGCCTGGTTAGTATCATTTCCCCAAATCTTAGATGAAAATTTTTATTTTATTTTTATATATTTTTATTGATTTTTTTACAGAGAGGAAATGAGAGGAATGGAGAGTTAGAAACATCGATGAGAGAGAAACATCGACCAGCTGCCTCCTGCACAACCCCTACTGCACAACACAACCAAAGTACATGCCCTTGACCGGAATCGAACCTGGGGCCTTTCAGTCTGCAGGCTGATGCTCTATTCACTGAGCCAAACCGGTTTCGGCAATGAAAAATATTTTAATATTCACTCAATCTAGTGAGGGGGGAGGAATTTCCCCACTAGAAGTTTGTGTTTGGATTCAAAGATCCATTGTAAGAGTTCTTCCAACAAGGCAGGGCTTCCTGCTTTGTTCTCTAATTGTGTTTAGTGATCAAATATTAGTTAATATGTGAAGAGGCTTGCGTGTCCGAGACGCAGAGCTTCCTATGGATGAGAGGAACTTACGTTCGCTTGCTCATCAGCAAGATCGTGGTGTCAGGTGTTCCTTGCCAACTCTTTCCCATTCGTTGTCCTTTTTTAAATTTGTTTTAAATGAAATAATTTGACCCCTCAGCTTTTTATGCCCTTGACCATGGACGTACCTCAGTTTCCAAACCAGCCCTTGTGCATCCCTAACTGCACCCTACCTAAGACAACAGCTTGGTTTGGCTCATGGGAAAGACAGTGGTTCCAATGGGGTTAGCTGTGCTGGGGATTGAATATTTGCAAGCATTTCATTTGCTTGTCCAACTGCAGTTAGCAAACAAGTTCTCTGTCTGCTAATACGGTGTGGGCATGTGTGTTGGTAAGTAAAGTGCCCTCTCTTTCCTGCTGCCTAGTCTTTGGGCGCTTACCTAGACCTAGGGAACGTGAGCTAGCAAGTGGCTGTCAGAGTGAACTTGTTCCCTAACCCATCCTGTGAATACCAATGCTAACAACCGTGTCTTGTGTCTTTTTTTTCCCCCTTTCCTTTCCTTTCCTTTCCTTTTTCTTTCTCTCTCTCTCTCTCTCTCTCTCTCTCTCTCTCTCTCTCTCTCTCTCTGTCTCTCTCTTTCTCTCTCTCTCTCTCTTTTTTTTTTTTTTTTTTTAAATCAATGTGCTTTTTCCCCCTGTGTGAATAATTATATGTCTAGAAACAGCCATGGAGTGATTTTGCTGTTCTGAATGGGGGAAAGATTAATAGTGACATTTGGAAGGCAAGTATATTGTCAGCTTTCAGATCATTTGCTGTGTTGTCCTTTGTGTGCATGGCTGTGGCTGCACCTTTCTCTCTGCGAGCATCGTGCACTCTCATGCATTCGGCAGGGATGGAGTGATGGGGCTTCTTGCTAGGGACGTCCAGCTCACACACCCACATGGCCTTTTTTTTTTTTTTTTTTTTTTTTTTTTTTTACGTCTCCCCTTGCGAATGACTTCAGGCTCATTGCCCCGGGCTGCCTGCTGTCTGCTGAGCAGCACCTTGCACGGAGCCAGCACCCAGCAGCCCTTGCATGCCTTCTCCCACCTGAGCTCACGTGCACTCTGCCTCCGGCTGGGAGGGCTCTCCTTTCTGGTGATTACCTGCAGTCGAGTCACGGGCCCTCCACTCACAGGCGTCTGTTTTCCCCTAGGACCTGCACGCAGCCACCGTGAACCCGGACCCCAGTCTCAAAGAGTTTGAAGGAGCCACACTGCGCTACGCATCTTTGAAACTCAGGTAGGGCACTGGGACGCCCAGCTGTGAGGTGGGGCTTTTTTTGCCACCAGAGTTTGCAATGAAATTGCAAAGGAAATTCAGTCGCATTTCCTGATTGTTTGTGTTGTGTTATTTTGTTTTTTTTTTCTAGAAACGCCCCTCATGCTGAGGACGACGATTCTTGTAGTATCAACAGTGACCCAGAAGCGAAGGTTGGTAAAAAGCGTGCTTTCAGCGAGGAGGTTATAGTCTCACCTCAAAGTAATGACTTGGGATAATGGCCCCATTCTTACAAGTCATCAACCCAGAGCCACTTATTTAGTCATTATCCCGCCGTGCGCTGTCTTTCCTAATCTTCCCGACACTCAGAGTGAATCCCCGTAGACCACGTTCGCTTAGAGAGGATTTCTATGATCACTCTGCCTGTGTCGGCTTTTTGCACAACGTGGCAAGTTAAAACTACTGTTTTATAGGAATCTCTTTCACATCCTGCGTGAAACCAGTTCAGGGTTCGGGTTCTGGAGAAGGGCCACACACAAATGAAAAGAGACTTGAAGAAATTCAATTCGGCGATATGGGGGGCCAGGCGGTAGTCCAACTCTAGGGGGAGAACTACTCCCTGCTCTGGCCCTGCCATCCCTTTTATTGAGGCTTTGGGGAAAACACCCATAGGGCTTAGGCAGGAAATAACAGAAACTTACACGGAACAGAGGTGGAGGCAGCTTCAGCTAACAATGTCTCAACTGAAGGGTGAGTGGTTAGAGCAATTAAGGTTGTTGACCAGCCTTCCTGGCTTCCTGTCAACATCTCTCTTTAGTGAAACTGATTTGTTTCCAGCACTGTTTAAGGGGTGGGCTTCGGAACCTTTAGGGGTAAACCCGGTTCTGCCTCGCAGGTAGTGTGAGAGCTCTGTGCCGGGCGAAGCCTCCTCATACTGTATGATGGAAGCGAGAGTGAGCTATTGCGTTTGGCCTTCCGGTGAGGTCCCCAGGGCCAGCCGTGTGGGCTTGGTGTCATGCAGTGGGACGGGGCCCTGTGCTGGGAATCAGGGTTTCACTCAATGCAGTCACCTCCTTAACATTCGTAACCATTTTGTCTTTGGCTTTGTGCATTGGTGAGTCCCGTGGGGCGATGGGGTGTGCAGCGGGGGTGGGAGCCTTAGCTTGTGCACAGCCCTGCCACCTCCCTACCCCTTTCCCCACCCAGCCACCCCTCTGTTGCCTTCTCCCCAGAAGGAGCCCAGTGTGAGCATGGGGAGAGCTGGTGTTGGGTACGTAAGCCCCATGGTGTCTCGAGAAGGGTCAGAGCAGCACTTGAGGTGTTTAGTGGGCAACTCTGGAGGGTGAAGCCTGCCTGCTCTCATTCCAGGGACCTAGCATGACCTGGCGCAGAGGTTGTAATAAACTTGAGGGACACCTGTCTGCTTTGGGTTGGGCGTTAGGGGAGTGAGTCCATAGAAAAAGGGGGTTCCTGGCTCAATTTCGCCACCTCTGGTCAGGGTGCAAGGTAGCGGTTCAGCAGCTGGTGGAAGGGGGAACCCAGAGGATGCTGGTCTGTGGGGGTGGGCAGGGCCTCTGGGCCTGGGACGGTCTGCACTCACCCTGCCAGGATCCCCGTGCCCGAGGGAGCGTGACAGTAAATAACAAGCTAAACACACCTTAAGGCAAGAGACAGAGAGAGAAAGAGAGAGAGAGAGAAATGCCAAAGTGAGACTTTTCGTCATTTAATACTTTTACAGCGTGTTTTTTTTTTTTTTTCTGCTCTTTTGAACAAGGCGGCCCCCATTTTCATTTTCATTTGCTAATTATGAAGCTGGTTCTAGGTATACTTTGGGAATCACAGAGCAGATCTGTGTCTGTGAATAAAATGGGGCAGGCTCCCTTAGTGGCACTTACACCTCGCAGGCCCAGAGCCTTGACTCCTTTGCCGGAAACTGCCAAAGTGCCGTGGCTCCGGAAGGCACGCAGGGTTCGTGGTTGATGGCTCCACGGCTCCTCGTCGGCTCGGCCTCATTCCAAGTGCAGCCTGGAGGCCGCGCGGGGCCAGCAGTGTTCTGTCTGGAAGAAGTCCTTGGCCTGCCGCTAGCAGGGTAGCTTTTATTTTATTTATTTTATTTTTTAAACTAGTGGCCCAGCGCACGAAATTCGTGCACATTAAAAGGGGATTCATTAGAGGAAATAATTTAACTTTGCTGTTTGCCCTTTCTCTATAACAGAAGTGTCAGAGATGAAAGAAAGTTAGTAAAATGTATATGAAAATCTTCCTCCTGTCCGAGTCTGGGGCTCGCCACGGGAACCAGAGTCAAGTCCCCCCCCCACCCACATGCACCTCAAAATCGCGTGAGACCCAGACCCGACCGGTCCCCCGTATTGGGCTAGATCCAGACCCTGCCATCCCACCCTTGTCAGGCCCTGCCAAGCTGGGGGGCATAGCCTCAGGTCCCCTGTCCAGCCCTGCCGGGCGGGGGACACAGACACAGCCTGAGGTCCCCCGTCCAGCCCTGCCGGGCGGGGGACACAGACACAGCCTGAGGTCCCCCGTCCAGCCCTGCCGGGCGGGGGACACAGACACAGCCTGAGGTCCCCCGTCCAGCCCTGCCGGGCGGGGGACACAGACACAGCCTGAGGTCCCCCGTCCAGCCCTGCCGGGCGGGGGACACAGACACAGCCTGAGGTCCCCCGTCCAGCCCTGCCGGGCGGGGGACACAGACACAGCCTGAGGTCCCCCGTCCAGCCCTGCCGGGCGGGGGACACAGACACAGCCTGAGGTCCCCCGTCCAGCCCTGCCGGGCGGGGGACACAGACACAGCCTGAGGTCCCCCGTCCAGCCCTGCCGGGCGGGGGACACAGACACAGCCTGAGGTCCCCTGTCCAGCCCCACGATGGCGTTGGAGGGCGCGTTATCAGTGAGCATCAGTCTGTGTGCATTGAGGGTGAATGACACAAACCTCTAAGGGCAACTCAGAATCTTGGAAGGACTTTGGCAAAGGGCACCTGCTTCTCACTCCCCCGCCCACCCAGGACCACGAGGTCCTCGTGCCATAGGAAGTGTCTGCTGCTGTTGAGAACCCCAAGCGTAGAGGGAGGGGGAGGGGCTCTGAACCCCACTTTATACAAGTCACACAGTGCAGAGCGCAAAGGCCATTCCTCGTGGAGTGTGCTGGTTTTTCTGGTACCTCGTCCCGAAATCACTGTAATCCTGAGTCTTCATTGAGGGCTAACCTTTCCTCAGGCGTGATTCTAAAGATTTATTTCCTGCCGAAACCGTTAGGGCTCAGTGGATAAAGCGTCGTTCTGCGGACTGAAAGGTCCCAGGTTCGATTCAGGTCAAGGGCATATACCTTGGTTGCGGGCACATCCCCAGTAGGGGGTGTGCAAGAGGCAGCTGGTCGATGATTCTCTCTCATCGATGTTTCTAGCTCTCTATCCCTCTCCCTTCCTTTCTTTAAAAAAAAAAAAAAAAAAAATATATATATATATATATATATATATATATATATATATATATATATATATAAAGACTTATTTCCTTTGACTCTCACCCTCATAAAAACGTAGGGGGCCAAGCACCGTTGTCCCCATATTGCAGGTGTGGACACCGAGGCCTGGGAAGCTCAGCGGCGAATCGGTCGCGGAGCCAGGATGGGCGCCCAGGCCGTTGGGCTCCAGCGCCCTCGCCCACGAGACTGTCCGGAGGAGTCTCACGGGGAGCTTTATTGGGGGTCCCCAGCAAATAATGTGACCAGCGTCCCCCACGAATGCCAAGCCCTCAGAGACGGGGAGAAATGTGGGTATGTCTGTCGGTATGTCACAGCACTCGTCACTGGGAAGAAAGGACAAACATCCAACCAATCTCCTTCTCCGAAAACGGGCGGGGGGGGGGGGGGTTTGTGGACCCGCCTGCGGGCCTGACCTGGGGCCGAGATGAACTCTGGGCTCTAGAAGCTCTGTGGGTGCAGCGTTCTCAGGCCCCTCCTCGTAGTGTCATTTCAGTTGGTCTTGCGATGAAGGTGGGCCCGCAGCCGGAGGAAGCGGGGGTCGGAGTGGAGGGGGTGTGCGTCGTTGCGCTTTGGGGCCACCGCCTAGTCCCCTGGCAGACCCTGAGCTGTTGTCTGGCGTGCTTTTCGGGGTGCATGGTCACGTGGTCAAGCCACCGTTCATGGAACCTGCCAAGGGAAGCTCTGTGGGGAAAGCCAAGATGTCCTCTCAGAATTAGTTATTTCAAAATCCAACAGCCCCAATGCATTTGCATTTCACAAATTTCGAAGAAGCCAGTGAGTTTAGGATTTGGATGGAGCCACTTTTGGAGGAGTCCCCCTCTCCCTCCTCGACTCCCACATCAAACCCCTCTCTCCCATTTACCCTCTTAGTTGCTCCTCACTTATTTAATGTTGCCTTGGGCACCTAAGAGGGGACCAGTGGCTAGAAAAACCAGGATTTTCCAAATGTTCAAGCTTTGTAGAAGTAACTTCTTTAGATAAACATTTACATGCCGTGTACTAGGAAGCTGAGTGCAACCCCTCCCCCCGAAAAGCAGAAAGTGTGTCTATAATGATAAAAGCATAGCATGCTAATTAGACCAGACGGCCAAACGACACTCTGGATGTCATTCCAGATGTCCTTCTAGATGAAGCCACGGTGGCAAGGGCCGAGGCAGGGACGGTTAAGGGCGATCAGGCAGGCAGGCAAGCAGAGTGGTTAGGGGTGATCAGGCAGGTGAGCAGTTAGGAGCCAGCAATCCGGGATTGCAAGAAGGATGTCCAACTGCCAGTCAGACATCCACCAAGCGGTCCTGGATTCTAAGAGGGTGCAGACCAGGCTGAGAGACCACCTCCCCCGTGCACAAATTTTGTGCACCCGGCTTCTTGTCTTTAAAAGAAGAAATATTTAATTTCATGGACCGTGAAATTCTAAGTGTAGTCCCTGACGAGTGGTTCCTTTAAAAAAAATTATTGTAGAAAGTTTTTTCTTTATTCCCTACATGAGACTTACTTCCAAAAAGATGAAACTCATTTTTAGACGGTCAGGATGTGGACACTTCCCAGGCCTCTGTGAGTTTGGGCGTCCTGATCATGGTTAGTCCAGCGAGACCTCTAAATAGCAACGGCAACACAGAATGCCTGTGTGTCTCCCCACCCCGCCCTCCACCCAGAGAGCAAAGTGTTTTTATAACTCTGGAACCGTTCCTCCAGCCTACCTAACTTTTATACAGA